AGAGTAGGAGGGGAGGGGAAAGAAACTCAGAGCATCATGGGGCCCCCAGCAGCCTAGGCCTATAGCAGCATAACTAAGGGAGGGCTCAGGGTCACCTGATCCAGCCCTAACTATAAGCTTTATCAAAAAGGAACGTCTTAAGTCTAATCTTAAAGGTAGAGAGGGTGTCCGCCTCCCGAACTGAGACTGGGAGTTGGTTCCATAGGAGAGGAGCTTGATAGCTAAAGGCTCTGCCTCCCATTCTGCTTCTGTGGACTCTAGGAACCACAAGTAAACCTGCACTCTGAGAGCGAAGTGCTCTGTTAGGATGATAAGGCTCTACGAGGTCTTTAAGATACGATGGAGCCTTGTCATTAAGGGCTTTGTATGTTAGGAGAAGGATTTTAAATTCTATTCTGAATTTTACAGGGAGCCAGTGGAGAGAAGCTAATATGGGAGAGATATGATCTCTCTTGCTAGTTCCTGTCAGTACTCTGGCTGCAGCATTTTGGATTAACTGGAGGCTTTTTAGGGAATTATTGGGACATCCTGATAGTAAAGAGTTACAGTAGTCCAGCCTGGAAGTAACAAATGCATGGACCAGTTTTTCAGCATCACTTTGAGACAGGATGCTCCTGATTTTTGCAATATTGCGCAGGTGAAAGAAGGCAGATCTAGAGACTTGGTTTATGTGTGATTTAAAGGACATATTCTGATCAAAGATGACTCCAAGGTTCCTCACAGTAGTACTGGAGGCAAGAGCTATGTCATCTAAAGTAACTATATGATTAGACAGCAGATTTCTAAGGTTTTCAGGCCCAAGCACAATAACTTCAGTTTTGTCAGAGTTTAGAAGTAAGAAGTTGCAGGTCATCCAGGCCTTTATGTCTTTAAGACATGCTTGAAGTTTGACCAGCTGACCTGATTCATTTGGCTTCATAGATAAATATAACTGAGTATCATCTGCATAGCAATGGAAATTTATGTTGTGCTTCCTGATAATATTGCCTAAAGGGAGCATGTATAAAGTGAAGAGAATTGGACCTAACACAGAGCCCTGTGGAATGCCGTGACTAACTTCAGTTTGTGTGGAACATTCGTCATTAACATGAACAAATTGAAATCTTTCTGATAAATAAGATTTGAACCAACTTAGTGCAGTTCCTTTAATCCCAATAACATGTTCAAGTCTCTGCAGTAAGATGCTGTGATCAATGGTGTCAAAAGCAGCACTGAGATCTAAGAGGACAAGTATGGAGACAAGTCCTTTGTCCGAGGCTAGGAGAAGATCATTGGTGACTTTCACCAATGCGGTTTCTGTACTATGATGGACTCTAAATCCTGACTGAAAATCCTCAAACAAATCATTCTTGTGCAAGTGGTCACATAACTGCTTTGCTACAGCTTTTTCAAGGATTTTGGAAATAAATGGGAGATTGGATATTGGTCTATAATTAGCTAGGACACCTGGGTCAAGAGTAGGCTTTTTGAGTAGAGGTTTAATTACTGCAAGTTTAAAAGCCTGTGGAACATAACCTGTTAATAGAGAGAGGTTAATCAGATCTAGTATGGATGTGTTGATTAGGGGAAAGACGTCTTTGAGCAGCCTGGTCGGGATGGGGTCCAGGAGCCATGTTGATGATTTAGATGAAGCAATTGTTGAGGTCAACTCAGAGAGATCTATAGGGGAGAAGTAGTCCAAGTATAAATGAGGTCTTACAGATGTTTCTAAAGCCATTGTAGTAGATGGCACATCTGCAAGAGCTGTGGGAGTGGTCCGAGCAATTTTTTTCTCTAATAGTTGTGATTTTATTTGTAAAGAAGCTCATGAAGTCATTGCTGCTGAGATCTAAGGGAATGTTAAGCTCAACAGCACTGTGGCTCTTTGTCAGCCTGGCTACAGTGCTGAAAAGAAACCTGGGGTTGTTCTTATTTTCCTCAATCAGTGATGAATAAAATGTGGTTCTGGCACTATGAAGGGCTTTCTTATATGTTATTAAACTATCTTTCCAGGCTATAGAAAACTCTTCTGACTTAGTGGAGCGCCACCTCCTTTCCATTTTTCGTGATGCCTGCTTTAGGGAGCAGAGCTGCGAGCTGTACCATGGGGCTAGCCTCCTCTGTTTCACTACCTTCTTTTTCAGAGGGGCAATGGTATCAAGTGTATTACGCAGGAAGGCTGCAGTACTATCAACAAGATTATCGATTTGTGTGGGAGTAAGGTTAAGGTGGCCTCCTTCCACTGTGTTGGCAAACGGCACTGAAGTAGATAAAGATGGAATTATTTCCTTAAACTTGGTAACAGCATTGCCAGATGGACATCTGCTGTAGTGGAATTGTTTCCCACATAGAGTATAATCCATTAATGGAAATTCAAAAGTTATTAGAAAATGGTCAGACAGAAGAGGGTTATGGGGAAAAACTATTAAGTGTTCAGTTTTGATGCCATATGTCAGAACCAGATCAAGAGTGTGATTAAAACAGTGAGTGGGTTTATTTAGTTTGAGAGAAGCCAACTGAGTCTAATAATGAACAGAATGCATTGTTGATGCTGTCATTGTCGGCATCTACATGAATATTAAAGTCGCCTACTATGATTATTTTATCTGTACTAAGCACTAAATCAGACAGAAAGTTTGAGAATTCACTTAAAAACTCTGAATAAGGAGCAGGTAGACGGTATACAATCACAAACAGAACAGGCTTTTGAGTTTTCCAGTTTGGGTGTGAGAGACTCAGGGTGAGACTTTCAAATGAGTTATAACTATGTTTAGGTCTAGGGTTGGTTAATAGGCTTGAGTCAAAGATTGCTGCCACACCACCATCTCGGCCTGTGTTTTGAGGGATGTGACAGTTACTGTGCCTAGGTGGAGTGGATTCATTTAGGCTGACATATTCTTCCTGCTGTAACCATGTTTCAGTAAGACACAATAAGTCAATGTGATGTTCACTTATCAAATCATTCACTAACAGAGATTTAGATGAGAGAGATCTGATATTTAATAGTCCACATTTGATTGTCCTATTACTTTCTACTATAAGAGGAGTCATCTTAATTTTAATTAGGTTCTTATGAATAACTCCTCTGGAGTTGATTCTTGATTTATATAATTTAGGTGGGCGGGGGGCAGACACAGTCTCTATGGGGTACTGGGAGCGTTGGGTGGGTAGCAGCTGCAAGGAGACAGCAGAGAGGCGTGCAAGACTGCGACCCTGCATCCTGGACTCAACTCTGGGTTGTCATAATTTAAAAATAAATGTAGAATAAAAACAATATCAAAATTTGTCATTTTCGGGTGTTTTTTTTCTTCAGCCCTCGTTTAAATGAAGCACACTCTCATTGGAACATAAACAGTGGCACCTTTATAGCATCTCTTTTGAGAAAATGCTTGAATTCACACCAGCTTTAGTGTATCAGTTGCTGCTCATGAAAAAAAGTTTTCTTAATTCATGAATGACACTGCAAATCTGTTTGACTGTGCACACAGTAAATAAAGTGGTATACAAATGCTGTAAATATTTTTTTTTTATTCTAGAGATTGAGTCAGATTTAGAAAAAAAATCATCACAATTCAGCACAAAGTTAATTAAAACAACCCTATGTACAATGCTGGTAATACAGAGTACAAATGGAGACTTGATTTGAAAGTAAAACATCCAAATCTGCATAAAGCGGAGTTCAGACTCACTACGAAATGTCAAATTACATTCGGCTACAATATGCACTTTGTTCTTTACTCTTACAGTCTTATGCAAAAGTTTAGCACATGCACATCTCATCTTTTAATTATACTCCTTGTTTTTCTAAAACCACTCAACTCCCAACTGGAAATATTAGAGAACATTCAAACACATTCTCACACACAACAGCTATTAACATTCATTTATACATTTTCTGGTTTTACAAAGGCAGGATCCATTTCTATAAGCATGAATTCATGGCACATACATCTTAAAAAAGGCAGCAAAAAAAAAATCTTCATAAAAATTTCAAGTGCGGAACCACCAGATTTTAAAGTAGGCCACAGCGTAAAACCATATCTGAAAAAAAAAAACAGGAATAATTTCACACCTGTGCCAAGAACACAGTGAATTTGTCAGTTATTTAGCCATCACATGATCTCTGCTAGAGCTCCTCAAAATTTATATTGCTTTGTTGTTAATTAACACCATTTTTATGAGCCTACAAAGATCAAGTATCTTTAGCTCTATATGGAAAATGGATGATAGTGTGGAATAGTATCATATATAAAATGAGGTGTTGTAAACTTATAAACAGAATAATTACATAACAATGTGGCTTAAATTGTGTATAAACCAGTGTACCTTTGTAAAATAATCTTTAGATTTATATTCTCCAACAGTATCCCTTACTCAGTTACATATTCTCTCATCTAGAATGAACAAAATTAAAAAGTATTATAGTTGTGCAAATTTTTAGCAAAACACAGCTGATCAAATGTGGGAGATGTGTGCTTTTATCAGCTGTGCAAAGTTTAGAAAACAGAAAGATAAAATGTTTAAAATACTTGCACATAGCTTCATCATAAGCTAAAAACATATTCTCCACTCACTCTGCAAAGCCTCTTATTTTTCCCATATTTATTATCATTAAATAGGTTTTAAAAGTCTTATTTTCTTCCTGAGAATGTCATGGGAGTAACCAACCTCTGTCTGGTTCCTTTTCCCTTCAGCATTTGTACTGGGAAACAAACACAGGGTGAAATACAAGAGACATTCTAAGACATTTTTCTACCAAATCTGTTCAGTGCTTTTCAGACAAGAGTGTAGGATCAATGTCTTCATTCACTGTTTTCCCATATTGATGACCTTACCTCCTATCACGCACTCTACCGGCCACCATAGAGGTGGATCTTGGCGAATGAGACAGTCTCATAATAGTCCTTGTGGCCCTTCTCATAGATGACAAAAATGTACTTGCGGTCCTCTGGAGAACCTCTGTCAAGTGATGTGATGCAGGAGTAGCCACTTGGCCCTGCCCATATCTGGACAGCTTTATTCTCCCAATATTTGCCATCAGTCAGTGACCAGCGTAAGGTTAGGTTAACTCCTGAGGGGGGATAATGCAAGAAGTTAGTATGCTTGTTGGAGCTGAGACAATGAGTGGATTACCTGATTAGTCAATCAACAGAAACATATGCAGGAGCTATTTTGATAACCGAGTAATAATTTCCGTGGTTCCAGTCTCTCAAATGAGAGGATTTCCCATTTTTCTTTATCATATATCATTATAAACTAAATATTTTTGGGTATTTGGACTTTTGGTCATCAAAAACAAAGACATCTGAAGATGTCACATTCGGCTCTGCAGACCTGTGGTGTTTCATAGCCATAAATGACTAATCAATAATGAAAAGAACCAATATCTCTAATGCTCATTCACGGACCGTTTTTAACATGGATGATAAATCTGACAAAGAAAACTGATATATTGTTTTCTCATTAAGGAAAGCATCAGCATTAGTGAAAAGAACATGAGTTCTTTTCACTAATGCTGACATTTCCTCAGCACGCTAAGTACAATTTGAGGTACTAGTACTTTGAGTATTCTAGTTTTAAGCAGCTGTGTACTACTACAAATATTTTATTTTTTACTCCACTACATTTATTTCATAGCTATAGCTACTAGTGACTAGTCATATTACACATGAAGATTTTATGTATAAAACACATGATCAAGTTACAAAATACAGTATGATGCAAGAGTACATAAAAACTCACTGCAATCATCACTAAGCATCAGTGACAAAAGCTTAGGGAGGAAGAAAAAGTTTTTCATACTCTGATACTCATTGGAAGGGTTGGTGAAATACAGCACCCCGTCCTTCTGCAGAGCTCCAGCTGCTACTACAGGATCCACCAGCGTGTAGTCAAAGAACAGATTATCTATGGGCAGGGACAATCCCCCATCTTGGCTGCTAATCACCATGCGACACCGACAGTGGTAGTTATTCTGATTGCGAACATTGATGACAATGCTTCCGTCCTTCATCTCAACCAGCTACAGAAGGGCAGAGAGAGGAAAGGCTTTAACTCAGGGGTGGCCAATTCTAGTCCTCGAGGGCCACTGTCCTGCTTGTTTTCCAACTATCCCTGCCTGACCTGCTGCTGATTACCTGGCTCAGGTGTGTTCAGCCAGAAAGTGGAGTGACGAAAGATAAAGTGAACTGGTATCACTCCACTTTCATCTAAGATGGTATCTTCCAGCTTCTGACTGACTGAACACACCTGAGCCAGGTAATCAGCAGCAGGTCAGGCAGGGATAGTTGGAAAACAAGCAGGACAGTGGCCCTCGAGGACTGGAATTGGCCACCTCTGCTTTAACTGACAGTGTGTAATACTTTGTGATTTAGGAAGGAGTGATGTTAAACATTCATTAACTGGTGTCACATTAATTATGACACCTTGGTATCACTGTGAATAATGAATGCACGACTGCTATACCACACCGGTCTTGTTTATATGGTGGGGTTTTAAAATCCAAATTTGAAAACTGCATTAGTTGATTTTTTTGCCCACTAGGGGGCAGAAATACTCCACAACATGCTGACAGATAAACTGCCCCAACAAAGGGTTAGTATAAATAACATGTTAGAAAAGTAATTTCCTATTCATACATCCAGCAGTCACAAAGCAACATTAGCATTCATTTGGAGTTGTAGTTCTGTCTAAATGACATGTGCAATACTTACTCTTCATCTGGGTCATTTTAGAGAAGAATATTTGTGTGTTTTAGAAGCTAAAAATTCTGACTTACAGTGAGTTTAATGATTAACTGAGACAGGTTAAGAAAGTCAGTAAATCTGAAATACAACTGTAGACCTAAGACAGACAGTATGGATTACACTACACTACTACAGAATAGGTGTAATCATCAATAATCATCATGTGTTCCACAAAACATATTTATAAACAGCAGAAAAAGTACCTGGCACTCATCAGGATTGAAGTCCTGTGCTCTCTTCTTCTGGTTGTAGGGGACACTTTTCAACCCTCCACCATTGTACCAATTCTGTCCGTGGTCGTCACTCAGGATTAAAAAGACGCCATCTCCCTCTATTGTTCCATGACCACAAACCACCAGCCGCCCCTTGGCTGGGTTGTAGCGCTTCTGTAGTGAAAAAGACAAAAAAGGACAGACTCAGCACCACAAACAAAAGCGCAGAAAGACACTAAAGCTGAAAGTGTGTTCAACTGTGCAAATCATGTTTGTATGAATGAGGACATAAAAAACTAAAAATCAGTTTAAATTCAGAAAGAAATATCATTGCCATTACAAGGTAACTGGGCCAGCCAATGCCTAACCTGAGCAAATACAACGTAGATGCTGTGTGTTACACCACATATCTATTAGGCCTATTTGCCTTATGAATGTATAAGGCAAGATTTTCCTTCGTGTAGTGGCCCAAAGGCTGTCGAGCTACCTAGACAGGAATAAGCGTATTAACACCTTAGTGCAGAAAGCCAGAAAAGCAGGTTATTCTGGATGTTTAGAGCACACAAGCAAATGCAGTTAGCCAGTGCCTTTGGTTCTGTACCACACAGCCTACTAGTTTATTTTAAAGTACCAGACTTAGTTAAAGGAATAGTGAGAGAATATTTTCAGAATATACAGGTATGTTTCACAACAGTAGAGTGTACTATAGCTAGGCATCATGGCAGGATGCACAATCTCACCGCTAGTGTTTACTATGGCATAGATGGGTCACAATAGGAGAGAGCAGGGCAACAGCTACCACCCATAAGAGTGTACATGGATGACATGACAACTACCACAGCACTATGACTGACCACTAGTAAAAATAAATAAAGGTAAAAGCCAAAAAACTAATCTTTTGGAAGAACACTTCTTCTTCTTTCGCCTGTTCCCGTTAGGGGTCGCCACAGCGAATCATGTGTTTCTACCTAACTCTATCCTCGGCATCCTCTACTCTCACCCCAATTAACTTCATGTCCTCTTTTAGCACATCCATATATCTCCTCGTTGGCCTTCCTCTTGACCTCTTGCCTGGCAGCTCCATCTCCAACACCCTTATACCAATATAACCACTATCCCTCCTCTGCACATGTCCAAACCATCTCAATCTGGCCTCTCTGACCTTGTCCCCAAAACAGTCGACCTGAGCTGTCCCTCTGATGTGCTCATTCCTAATCCTGTCCATCCTGGTCCCTCCTAAAGAGAACCTCAACATCCTCATCTCTGCTACCTCCATCTCTGCCTCTTGTCTTTTCCTCACTGCTACAGTCTCTAACCCATACAGCATAGCTGGTCTCACTACTGTCTTGTACACCTTTCCTTTGATTCTTGCTGACACTCTTCTGTCACACA